TACTGCGCTCAATAGATCCTATACAGCAGAAAACTGAACAACACAACCGTTTCGATTTGCGAGCAGGAAGGATCTGTGCGGAGAGAGCACCCCCGCCACGCGACTCTCCGGGGAAGCTTAGCCGCAAACTCTCTCGGGGGGCACTGTGCCTCGGCGCCTGGAACCTCCACCATGGCGCACTCTCCCCTCAAGCCTAGACCTTTTCCGGTGCCCGCCTGCAAGGTGTCCCTTCCCCACACTCCCCCACCACGCCCCCAGCCCTGGTAGTGCGGCCAAAACCGGTCCCAAGCCGCTCCACGCTCGCCGGACTAGCCCAGGCAGGGCGCCCCCTACCCGCCTCGTCTGCCCTCGCGCTGCCCGGATTCCCGTGGGCTCCGCCCCGGCCAGGGGTCCGTACCGTAGCCAGGCCGGCCCCGAGGTCTCCATCTCAGCGCTGACCCCTCCGCGCACTGCTCCCGCTCTCCTCCCTCCAGCGCCAGCCGTCCTACCTCCTTGACCGAGGCTCGATCGCAGATCACGATCTCCTCCTTGTCCTTGGGGGTCTTGACGGTGACCCGAATCTGGGGCCTCGTCTCGGCCCCGGTCGGCTCCGCCATGCCGCCGCCCGGCCGCCCGCCAGCCCGCCCGGCTCCTCCTCCCGGCCCGCCCGGCCCGACTCGGCTCCGGCGCCTCCGCCTCCCCCTCCCGCCCCTCCTCGAGGCTCCGCCGGCCCCTTCGGACAGCCGCAGCCACAGCGCCCCGGGCGGCCTGGGGGGGCACTGCAGCTGGGGGGTCCTGCCAGTCTCCGTTCCCCGGAGTAACTTGGTGTTCTTGGGGGGCGGAATCTCTGCCTGCCCTGGGCTCGATCCTGGATCTGGATGTTAACACCTCTGCAGAAACAGCCATTAAGGACAGTTTCAGAGACCGGGAGTTTGCCTGCGTGACTTCTCTGAGCCTTGGGTGTCAAGACAGCCGTACCTCACAGAACTGTGACTGCTTTGAAACATGGCCAAGGATGTGCTTAGCAAATACAGATCTTTATTATTGAATCGCGGACTGACCAGTAGGCACGAAGGCGCCCTTTTCGTGGAACGGATTAAAAGTTCTTCCAATGTTGCCACTAGCCTTGCACTCCCGCTCTTTTTTCCCCCACAGCCTCATGGTTTGAAATGGAAGCCGAACTATAGTTCCCAGAATTCCTTGATAGGTAACACGAAACTACCATTCCCAGCGCCCCTCGCGTGGGGCGGGGACTGGGCCAGACCCTCGGTGGATAGGCTCGGAGACTACAACTACCGGGACGCCTCGTAGCTGGGCTGCTGGGCCAGCGGAAGTGGCTGGCGGAGAGCTGAGGGCCGTGGCTGGGGTTGTCTAGGGTGCTGGTCAGGGTTAGGAAACGCAGGCATGCTGCGTCCCAAGGCTTTGACGCAGGTGCTAAGCCAAGCCAACACCGGAGGAGTCCAGAGCACCCTGTGAGTGCACAGCAAGGACCCGAGCGGCGAGCGCTGGAATGGGGCGGCGCGCGGCTGCCTGCAGTAGGGGTAGAGAAGGAGCCCTACTCTTGGAGGCTAGTGCTGCGAGCAGTCGTTTCGGGAACCCTACGTGAGGGCCTCTCTCGGAGAGGGAATTTGATGAGTGCTTAGAGCATGCTCCAGGATATATTCAGCGCAGATCCTTGCTATCTAAAAACGCCAGTAGAGGGAATTGAGATAGGAACCCAGGCTTTTTATTCTTCCTTTTTTTTATTCTTTTAAATCGATATCCTGCCCCATCTTCGCCAGGCTACTGAATAACGAGGGATCGTTGCTGGCCTACTCCGGTTATGGGGACACAGATGCCCGGGTCACCGCGGCCATCGCCAGTAACATCTGGGCCGCGTATGACCGGAACGGGAACCAAGCGTTTAATGAAGACAATCTCAAATTTATCCTCATGGACTGCATGGTATGAAGTAAAGTAGGCTGACCTTGAACTTGCCTCTGCCTCCTGTTTACTGAGATTGCAGGTGTGCTCCGCCTCACCTTGCCAAATAAGTAAAACACATAGATATTTAAAAAGGAAGAAAAAAAAGTGAAGGTAGGGCACAGACACATATGACGGTCAGTCTTACTGAAAAGGTGACATTTGCTAAAAGAACTGCAGGAAGATTGGAGAGGGGAAGCGGATATGCGATGCATCTCTCTGCGGGGGAAAGATTTCTAACAGTTCTTGGTGGTTTATGCCTCTAGTCCCAGCACTTGAGAGACTAATGCAGGCAGGTAGAACTGTGCAAGTATTTCTGACAGAACAGCAATTGCAAAGAGCCTCGGGCCGAGTGATGCTTGGACAACGGTCAGTAAGGATGGAGCGTCACAGTGAGTGGGAAAGTCGCAGGATTTAGGCATGAAGAGGCCTGCCTGGTTCCCAGCGCCCTGAACGGTGATGGTGTGCAGGACAAATCAGTTGGTCCCGGGGTGAATGTGCCTCAGAAAGCTCTTCATTGTGATTCAGGCACCCTCCCAACCATTGCTGACTCCTACTGGGTGCTGAATCTAGAGCTGGTACCATAGGGAGGAAGCCCAGAGACATTCACAACAGCCCAGCCATAATAAATGAATTTTAAGGAACAGAGGGTGAAGTCAGTGGTAAAGCACTTTGGGGTCTGAGGATCCGTTCCCAGAAACACAAGTTTTGTTTTTGAGTCAGAGCCTAGTATCCACACTGATACACACACTAAAACAAGTTTCATGAAACATCACTTCTCTTACTTTAATGTGACATCTGTCATTTTTATTTTAAATGTTGATCAACCTTAGTTGGTCTTCATTTAAAGCTATACCACAGGAAAAGAGGAGACATGTAAATTGGGTTGTGGTTTTTTTGGTTGTTTTTTGTTTGTTTTGTTTTTTGCTGTTAAGTTTTTTTTAGGTTTTTTATTTTATTTTGTATGTATGAGAGTTTTGCCCAGATGTTATATATGTGCACCATGTACATGTATGGCACTCGAGGAGGCTCAAAGAAGGCACTGGGTCCCCTGAACTGGGTGGTTGTGAGCACAGTGTGGGCGTTGGGAATTAAATCCAGGTCTTCTGCAAGAGTGACGAAAAAGTTGGCTTATTATTCCTGGTCCCTTACCTGTCGAGACAATTCTTAGCATCAAAGAAGAAAACCCCAGTTTCTGGGAGACTTGGTTTCCCAGAATAACTTGATTAGGAATTGCCTGTCTGAGACTGGAATCCAGTGTCAGACCCCCATGTCTGAAGGGCAGGGCAAAGCTTCCTAGATGAACTTCCTGCTCTGCCATGCTTGGGAGACAGTATCTCTAGGATCAGAGGCACCCAGGGAAGGTAGGAACTAAGGGTGCCAAGCAGAATGTCTCAATCTATCATCCCCACTAGGAGGGCCGTGTAGCTATTACTCGGGTGGCCAACCTTCTGCTATGTATGTACGCCAAGGAGACTGTGGGCTTCGGAATGCTCAAGGCCAAAGTGAGTACACTCCTCGGTCACACCTTCCTGGGCCCCACCACAGCTTCTGTGCCCCTTCCTGGAGTTCTCAGCTCTCCCCAGTCCCTGGGATGGTCTGAAGGGCAGTGGGGGTAGGCTGGGGTTGGTTGGAGCCAGTTTGAGATCCCTCTAAGCACGAGCCACGTATGACCTGACTTATGCTCTCTCCCTGCAGGCCCAGGCCCTGGTGCAGTACCTGGAGGATCCCCTCACCCAAGTAGCAGCATCATAGTGTGATGGACACTGGGGTCAAAGAAGGGGGAGATGGTGGTTGGGGGAGCAGGACCGCTTACAGGAGATGGGACTTTGGCTTTTTCCAAATAAATTTCAATTCTTGTCTTGTGTCTCATCTGTTTTCTTGGCTTGAAGACTCAGGCCATGGGAAGGAGTGGGGTGGGTTACTTAAGAGGATTCCCTCCTCCCTCATCACCAAATCTCCCAGCAGTTGTTGGCAAGACTTCTCCAGTGCAGGGCCTCATCTAACTCCTGCCAACAGGGTTTCCCTGTGTAGCCTTGGCTGTCCTAGAACTCGCTTTGTAGACCAGGCTAGCCTTGAACTCAGAGATATGCTGACTAAGAGCTGGGACTAAAGTTGTGTGCCACCATTCCCAGTATCAGAAAAGCAATTACTTTTCTTTAAACAATTTTAACTCTGTAGACTGGTTAGCCTCATACTCAGAGATCTGCCTGCCTCTGCCTCTCAAGTGCTTGGTTAAAGGTGTGGAACCCCATGTGGGTAAGTAGGAAGGGGGGAACTGTGTGGGTGAGTAGGAAGGAGGGGAGCCGTGTGGGTGAGTAGGAAGGGGGGAACCGTGTGGGTGAGTAGGAAGAGGGGAGCCGTGTGGGTGAGTAGGAAGGGGGGAGCAGTGTGGGTGAGTAGGAAGGGGGGAACTGTGTGGGTGAGTAGGAAGGGGGGAACTCTGTGGGTGAGTAGGAAGGGAGGAGCCCTGTGGGTAAGTAGGAAGGGGGGAGCCGTGTGGGTGAGTAGGAAGGGGGAACCGTGTGGGTGAGTAGGAAGGGGGGAGCCCTGTGGGTAAGTAGGAAGGGGTGAGGCTGTGCAGGTAAGTAGGAAGGGACCCATCTGGGCAGGTAGCATCCCTGAGGGAGCTCCACCTGAGGGAGAAATGCTGCCCATCCCTGGCCTGAGGCTGTTAAGGAAGGGCTTGAAGCTGCACGCTGGTGCAGCTCCTACAACTCTGCACTGCAGAGATGCTGTTCCCAGCTTGCATTTCTTGCCCTAATAGCTCTTTGCCTGATGCCTCCAGTATAATGCCTACCAGAACCTGAGATGGGAAAGCTGGAGGCCAGTAGCTTGTGCCCCACCACAAATCTGTCTCTCTTAGCCTAATGGCAGCTCCCCTTCTGCAAACCCTAGGAACCTTCAGCTCAACCTCACCCCCTGTTAACTCTAGGAGAAGGTTCTCCTGTTTAAGGGAGTGTGGGCTGAAAGCAGACACCTAACCTGTTTAACCTGTCTGACGTCATCTCGCTCCACCCACCTGTGCCCAGGTCCCCAGTCGAGCTGGCTAGCTCTTCCTGTTCTCAACTTCCGTCCTCTCAGCTCCCACAGAGTAGCCCAACCTGCCAAAGCTGAGCCTCCGGGGCTCTTCCTGGCCTCAACTCAGCCCTCTGTCCCTCACCCCAGTGAGAGGGGAGCTAGGTGCAAGTCTCTTAAGAGCTGAGAGTTGAGGCCATTTAATCAATAAACAAACTGTCACCTCTGCACCTGCAAACACCTTCACTCCATGCTGAATCGAGATGACTGGAAGAGACGATGATTATAATTTTGTCTTCAAGGGTAAGTTGGGGATCTTGCGAAGGGAAGGCTCCAGAGACAGGCTGTTTCCAGAGGAGACAGGGTGTCTTCTTTTGTTTTATCTCTTACTTGGAATCTAGGAGAGAAAGCAGGGCTCAGGAGTATAGGCAGGAGTGTTAGAGGTGCAGATAGATGTTCGGAAGCTGTATAGTCTCTAATAAATGCTCAAGTCCCTGGGAATATCAGCTGGTGAAGCCCAAGAGATGGAAGTCTGATTTAGAAAGGACTTGCATTCAGGGCAGAGGGAGAAGAAAGCCAATTTAAGAGGAAGAAAGTCTGTCCAGGCCGTAGTGGTACATGTCTTTAATCCCAGCCTCGGGAGGCAGAGGCAGGCAGATCTCTGAGTTTGAGGCCAGCCTGGTCTACAGAGTGAGTTCCAGGACAGCCAGGGCTACACAGAGAAACCCCATCTTGAACAAAAATGAAAAAGAAAAAAAAAGGAAAAAAGTCACCATCTTTCTGAGCAGGTGCATAGAAGGGGAAAGGGAGACCATTGTTGAGCTAGGTAGCTGATACAGAGGGGAGATGCTGGGACAGTGTGATGAATGAGCTGGCTGATGGTTTCCATGGGACTCCTGTGCTGAGCCTGTGTGATGGTATCCACCAGGCTGTCTCTGAAAGCGACAAAGCGTGCATCCTTCCTGCTCCCCCCCCCCCCCCCAAACAGTGTATCTCTGTAGCTTTGGAGCCTGTCCTGGAACTCACTCTGTAGCCCAGGCTGGCCTCAAACTCACAGAGATCCGCCTACCTCTCCCTCTGAGTGCTGGGATTAAAGGCATGCGCCACTACTGCCTGGCTCCTTCCTACTTCTTTATTCTCAGCTCCAAGTGTTTGGGCCCTCTGTGGGTCTATAGCCCACTTCCTGAAGGCACAGTGGCCTGATGGCACTCTCCTTCCCTTTGCACCACACCCTGCAGCCTCTCCCAACCTCAGCCCCACCCTGGCCAAGCTGGGGAGCCTGTACTCCTGGCATTTTCCCAAGGAAACTGGTAGGACTGTGGCCTGGCGGTGGTATAGTGACTCCTAACTATTGAGCCCCCAGTGCCAAACTATCTTCACATGCCTGGTGCGGTCCATCATTCTGAGTGATCCCATGGCCTCTCTGGCACTTACCAGTTGGCACAAATGGGGTTCCAGTGCCACCATGGAGAAGTGTGTGTGTTGGGGGTGAACTATGCTGACTCTGGCCACCATGTGAAGATGATCAGGAGGACTCAGGACAGGGCAGAGGGTGGCCACCTGCCATAGCCTTGGAACAGGGAGCTGTCCAGGAGAGGCATGACATCCATGTTCACGAGGGCTCATGGCACTCATGCATGCACACTGAACTGTCACTGCCACTGCCCACCCCTGCAGTGAGGGGGTGGGGCAAACCCTTCCTGAAAGGTGGGAGTGGGCAGTACGTTAGTGTTTAGTACAGTGTGATAGACCTACTGGGGTGATAGACCTACTGGGAGGGGCTTCCTTGTCGATAAAATGGGAATAGTGGCTACAGGCACCTCTGGGTGAGGCTACATAAAGGCTTGGGTGGTGGCCAATCTGAAGAAAGCAAGCCAGGCACACATTTAGTCCCAGCACCTTGGAGGCAGAGGCAGGCGGTTCTCTGTGAGTTCAAGGCCAGACTGGTCTACAAGAGCTAGTTCCAGGACAGGAACCAAAAGTTACAGAGAAACCCTGTCTCGAAAAATCAAACAAAACAAAACAAAACAAAAAAAAACCCCTTGCCCTGGGTCTGAAGACAGGGCTGGGGATGGATGAATGGAGACCCTTCTCCTAGCAAAGGAGAGGAGGTGACACACACAGGTGCACTCCTACACCTTCACAGGAGAGGCAGTGACACACACACACACAGGTGCACTCCTACACCTTCACAGGAGAGGCAGTGACACACACACACACACACACAGGTGCACTCCTACACCTTCACAGGAGAGGCAGTGACACACACACACACACACAGGTGTACTCCTACACCTTCACAGGAGAGGCAGTGACACACACACACACAGGTGCACTCCTACACCTTCACAGGAGAGGCAGTGACACACATAGATGCACTCCTATACCTTCACAGGAGAGGCAGTGACACACACAGGTGCACTCCTACACCTTCACAGGAGAGGCAGTGACACACACACACACAGGTGCACTCCTACACCTTCACAGGAGAGGCAGTGACACACACACACACACACACACACACAGGTGCACTCCTACACCTTCACAGGAGAGGCAGTGACACACACACACACACACACACAGGTGCACTCCTACACCTTCACAGGAGAGGCAGTGACACACACACACACAGGTGCACTCCTACACCTTCACAGGAGAGGCAGTGACACACACAGGTGCACTCCTACACCTTCACAGGAGAGGCAGTGACACACACAGGTGCACTCCTACACCTTCACAGGAGAGGCAGTGACACACACAGGTGCACTCCTACACCTTCTCAGGAGAGGCAGTGACACACACAGGTGCACTCCTACACCTTCTCAGGAGAGGCAGTGACACACACACACACACACACACATAGGTGCACTCCTACACCTTCCTGTCACCCACAGAAGTGTCATCTGCCAACCTTTCGCTTCTTACATGTAAGCACATAACATACCCAAGCCCCCTTCCTCTTCCTTCCTCCTCACATACAGACATCAGCAACTTTCCCATGCCCCTAGTCCGGAAATGTGCACCCCAGAACTCCCATGCCTGTCATTCCCATGTCCCCTGTGAGCAGCCCACAGCTGTTACTGTCACTGCGTTACCAGAATCACAGGCAGACTCTGTTGCCTCAGTAGCTGCTGCCTTGAATACTCCTGGCCCTCTGTGTCTGTCTGTCCATCCCCATCCCTCCACCCCTGCAGATGCCCTATGCAGTGTGGCCAACCACAGCCTCTGCCATCTTGCTTTTCTGAGCCCCTTTCTTTCCCGTTGAACAGACTCTCTGGCTCAGGTAGGCTCAGAGCCACTCTGCCCTGGCTCAGTTCTCCTCTCTCCACTTCCTCAGTGGTGCTGATCGGCGAGTCAGGCGTGGGCAAGACCAATCTGCTGTCCCGGTTCACCCGCAATGAGTTCAGCCACGACAGCCGCACCACCATCGGGGTTGAGTTCTCCACCCGGACTGTAATGCTGGGCACCGCAGCCATCAAGGCGCAGATCTGGGACACAGCTGGCCTGGAGCGGTACCGAGCCATCACCTCTGCGTGAGCCCAGGCCTGGGGGGGACGGGAGGCAGGAGTGTGTTGTGTGTTCCCTGTGATGGGAATCATGAAGACACAAGTTCTATGTTTGACAACAGGGATAAATAGGATGTAATGACTGTTAATGCAAGTCATGGCCCTACTTACTAAGCCTCTCCTGTGCCCAGGAAGACACAAAGCCCTTTGTACCCGTCATTTTAAAGTATTACAGGAAGAAGTGAGGTGCCTTGTTTAAATAGGTGCATGAACTAAGAGTGCCCCCTGACTCCAGCTCAGTGCTCTGCTCGGCGGCAATGTGTCCAGTCACAAGAGACAGGGTTCCCTGGACTTCGGTGTAAGTTTTAGAGATCAGGCTAGCCTGAGCTCACACGTAGACCTGGAACTCATTATGTAGTCCTTGCTGGTCTGGAACTCACTCTGTAGACTAGGCTGGCCTGGAACTCACAGAGATCTGCCTGCCTCTGCCTCCTAAATGCTGGGATTAAAGGTGTGCCCCACCACTCCTGATCACTATTTTTTAAAATTAGATTAGTTGATTAATTGATTGATTGATGGGTGGGTGGATGGATGAATGACTGGATAGATAGATTGTACTCAGAATCGAATGGCTTCCCATACAGTAGCCATATCCCCAGCTTGGAATATGCAGTTTATAAAGCTTCAGAGAATTAGGCCTTCTGGAACCATGTCCAACAATTCCTGGTCAGTGTCAGGTCCTGCTGTCTGAGATGTGGTTGATCTGTCATATATGATGGAAGACAAAACTGCAAGAGACTTGAAGCAGGAAGCAGGGGTTGTTATGCAGACTAAAGGGCCACACTCACCCACTACTTCTAATTATTTGACCTCTTATAAAACTTGGTTGAGGCTGGGCGGTGGTGGCACACGCCTTTAATCCCAGCACTCCAGAGGCAGAGACAGGCGGATCTCTGTGAGTTCGAGGCCATCCTGAACTACAAGAGCTAGTTCCAGGACAGGCTCCAAAGCTACAGAGAAGCCCTGTCTCAAAAAACAAAACAAAACAAAACAACCAAAAAAACAAGACTTGGTTGATTTGTTAATAAACTAGGAATAAGGGGCTGGAGAGATGTGCTCTCCCAGAGGACCTGAGTTCAATTCCCAGCACTCACATGATGGCTCACAACCATCTGTAATGAAATCTAGTGCCCTCTTCCGGCCTGCAGGTACACATGCAGGCAGAATATTGTATACATAATAAACAAATCTTTTTTTTTTGTTGTTTTTGTTTTTGTTTTTCAAGACAGGGTTTCTCTGTGGTTTTGGAGCCTGTCCTGGAACTAGCTCTTGTAGATCAGGCTGGTCTCGAACTCACAGAGATCCGCCTGCCTCTGCCTCCCGAGTGCTGGGATTAAAGGCGTGTGCCACCACCGCCCGGCCTTAAATAAATCTTTAAAAGAAATAAAATAAATAAACTATGAATAAACCACACATGGCGTTTCACACCTGTAATAACAGCTGAAGCCGGAGGATTGCCTTGAGTTTGAAGCCAATCTGTGCTACATATTGAGTTCTTGTCCTAAAACAAAACAAGGAATAATTAGATGTCCCCAATCTGAAGATGGCCTTTTGAACTCGGAATTCAGGCCAGGTACTGACTGGTTCAAGGGGCAGGCATGTGGTTCACCCTGAAAAGATGCCAAAAGAAGAGGCCGCTGTGTGAGGAGGACATTAAAAGTGGAAGATCCAGGCGCATACCTGCTCAGAGTCCACGTGGGCATTGGTGGGTGGGCAAGGCTGAAGTCAGGCAGAAGATTGCGGAGGCCTTGAGCTGGTAGGGTTTGGAGCCGGGCGGTGATGCTGCACTCTGAGACCAGCATCTCTGCAGCATAAGGGACCTTGAGTACCCTGCAGGGGCTGGGGTCCTGACTGCTGGCACACTGATGTCAGGCATTTAGTTTGACGACTATGCTCTGTCCATCCCTTCCTCTTAACCCCACACAGGTACTACCGCGGAGCGGTAGGAGCGCTCCTGGTATTTGACCTAACGAAGCACCAGACCTATGCCGTTGTAGAACGCTGGCTCAAGGAGCTCTATGACCACGCTGAAGCCACTATTGTTGTCATGCTGGTGGGGAACAAAAGTGACCTGAGCCAGGCCAGGGAGGTGCCCACGGAGGAGGCCTGCATGTTTGCTGGTGAGGGCCGCCCCCACTCAGTCCAGCTTCTCCATTACTCACACATTAGGGCCGGAGGGGTCTGTCCCCCAGGTGCTTCACTGCTTCTAGTCCCCTTGGGAACCCATGAGCCTCCCCTGCTTCCCTGCTGTGAGACTGGTTTCATTGGCAGTTGTTCACAGTTGATTGTAAGACGGCCTCCACCCTGCAATACTCAGTCAGGGCCCCTGGTGGGCTCCTGCTGGCCATCTCATTTACTCCTCTACAGCATCTGGTCTCCTCTTGAGCAGTGACTAGATGTAGGCCATGAGGCAAGTTCCTTCTTCATTCTCTCTGCATGTCTAGGCTTTACTTTCCTAAATGAACCTACCTTATAGATTGTATAAAGGATTAGATGAGCTGCTATCTACCAAGGGTTTTGCATATAGAAAAAAAAAAGACATAGAAAGCACTAAATAAAAGTCACTAGTGTTGCCATGATCCACGAATAATGTGTGCTTCCTTTCCTGCAGAAAACAACGGTCTGCTGTTCCTGGAGACCTCAGCACTGGACTCCACCAATGTGGAGCTGGCCTTTGAGACTGTCCTCAAAGGTGAGTCTACCCACATTGGGTGCTCCATTTCAGGTGGGATACCCTGTCCTAGCTCCAGTCCACGGAGGGCTCCAGCCTCCTCAGAGACACTGGTCCCACCTCTATCCCTCCACTCATCCTAGAGTTTAAGGAAGGAACCAGAAGGCCTCATTGTCTTTAGGGGGCTGAGTCTGGGCTCTTTATTTACCCAGACAAGACCCAGGTGTCAAAACTACTTCCTTCCAGAGTTTTCTGGGGTGGCCACCTGTGCTCAGAAATGGCATGGTTAGGGGCTGGAGAGATGGCTCAGTGGTTAAGAGCATTGCCTGCTCTTCCAAAGGTCCTGAGTTCAATTCCTGGCAACCACATGGTGGCTCACAACCATCTGTAATGAGGTTTGGTGCCCTCTTCTGGGCTGCAGACATACATACAGACAGACTATTGTATACATAATTAATAAATAAATAAATTAAAAAAAAATGGCATGGTTAGGGGGGTGGAACATTAAACTTCTGGCCTGATTACCGCCCTTTGTCCTTAGAGATCTTTGCAAAGGTGTCCAAGCAGAGACAGAACAGCACCCGGGCCAATGCCATCACCCTGGGCAACGCCCAAACTGAACAGGATTCTGGCCCTGGGGAGAAGAAGGCTTGCTGCATCAACCTCTGAACTCAGTCATGGCCAACCATGAGTCACTGCCTCCATTCAGCCTTTGCGTCCCTCCCACCCAATTGCATGATTTTTCTCTACCCTTGAGTCGTTCCCTCCCCCCACTTCACAAGCACAGGGTCCTCACGCCCTACCACGTCTCTAGCATCCGCCCACACACACCCCTCACAGGCTAGGGCCCTACCATGTCTCTAGCATCTGCCCACACACACCCCTCACAGGCTAGGGCCCTACCACGTCTCTAGCATCCACCCACACCCCTCACAGGCTAGGGCCCTACCATGTCTCTAGCATCCACCCACACCCCTCACAGGCTAGGGCCCTCATGCCCTACCATGTCTCTAGCATCCACCCACACCCCTCACAGGCTAGGGCCCTCATGCCCTACCACGTCTCTAGCATCTGCCCACATCCCTCACAGGCTAGGGCCCTACCATGTCTCTAGCATCTGCCCACACCCCTCACAGGCTAGGGCCCTCATGCCCTACCACGTCTCTAGCATCTGCCCACATCCCTCACAGGCTAGGCCCTCCCCCAATAAAGCTGTTTTGTATCACGCCTGGCTGTCCTACTGCCTTCCATCTGCCCCTTGTTGAATTGTCAGTGCTGCCCTTCCAACTTTGACTTCTCCTGAGTCCCTGATTCCTTTCTCCATCCCTTTTTGTCATCTCTACCATCTCCACTGCCCCTCAGGGCCTGCTTCTGGAGTTCTGTCTGGGGACAGTGCCAAGGGGACAGGAATTGCCTACCCTTTCCTCTGCCAACCCCTAGGGCAGGTGGGGGATGGAAGATTGTGTGGAGGGGAGGGGTATTTGGAAGACAAAAGAAACCATCCTCCAGCACCATCTGGTACCCAAAGCTCTGGTGCCAAGAACTGAGGTCACTTTAATGCCATGGGCAAGAGGTGGGGGGAAGATTCTAGGAAGCAGGGCTGGCCTAGTATACGTACTCAGCAGAGGTTCCTAAGATGGGAGGGGAGTACCCCATCCAGCCCTTTCCTTATCCTGAAACAGGAAAGAACGGAAGTTGGTAGAGTAGGGGAGGATTTTGTCTCTCCACATCTTTTGCGGGGAACCCTGGAAATCCCCATTTCCCACACCAGAGTACCAGTCCCAGTGCAATTTCAGCTGCCACACAGTGAAAGACAGAGCCTTAAGTAATAATACTTTTAATAAAATTAACTTCTCAATCGCACCTTTAATACATTAACCCTCCCCCTCCTTGGTTTCTCTGCGTGGTGTGCAGCTTCACTTCGACTTGATTATTCATGGGTCTGTTTTATTTCCCACCTTTGTTTTGCATTTGAACTCTTCCTTGGTGATTTGCAAGAGTCACTAGGTGCCTCAAGTCAAGTCTGACCACAACCCTACTCTACTGCCCCAGGGCAGCCTCCACCCACCCACCTGACCTCCCAAGCACTCACCCTTGGTAGGCAAGGGCAAATTCTTCCCTTGCCCAGATGCTACCATCTCAAACTATCGAGAGTCCTACGGCAAAGAGGGCAGGGGGACCTCTACTCTCTAGATGGGGAGAGGGAGGTGTGTCTGGGCTCTAGGGTCCATAGCCGTTGCACTGCTTGCTCAGACTAAAGCCAAGAGGCCTCTCCCCACCCTGATCTGATTGCCAGTGGGGGCTGATGCAAGACAAGTGCTTAAAAATGCTCATTTCTCACATGCAAAAGCCAGGCTTCCAGTTTTCTGCGGGGAAGGTGATGCGATGTGGCCAGTGGGTGATCCCTATCTAAACATAGAGGAGGGAGGCTAGGACATGAGGGCTACACTGGGCTCACCAAAGCTCCCTTCTTACTTTCACCGCTGTACTCTGGGGGGGGGGGGGGGGCAGGTTCTCCCAGGCCGTATTTACGCTCTACTTCCTGAGTAGAAAGTATTTCTTGGGATGTGACTTTCTCTGAGACTCCACAAAGCCGAGTGTGGTGGGGCATGCCTTGTAGTCCCAGCAATTGGAGACACCAAGAAGATGGCTGCTTGTTTAAGGCCAGGCTGGGCTAGAGACCCTGTGTCAAAAAATAAAAAAGAACACTGCACCTGTGAGGAAAACAGCACTAGATTGCATCGCCGCTCCCACCGCAGCACGGGCAAAGCTGGGCCGACAAGCATTGCACGCTCATTGGTGAACAGCTGTACCTTGCTCTTGAACCAACCTGTAGCAAGATGGACTGAGGTGACTTTCAAGGACCTCCTCAGTGTGGCCTGGGAGAAGCTGTCTTGGGTGAGGGTTGGGCATTAGGAGTAGGGGCTTCCCAGCAGATGCCCAGTCTCACCTGGTTTCAGATGCCCAGTGTGTACCCTAGCAAAGACCTTGGGACAGACGCCCAAGTGTACCTGTCCCACACTTAAAACCCTAAGGATTCTCAGAATCAACCCCAGCAGACTGGAAGCTCCCAATCTGAGCTAGCAGCCTGCTCCAGCCCTGTCCCCAGGGTAGGGCAGTTCAGCCGCAGGCCTCTATTCTTTTTCCCATACCTTTATACTTCCTACTGGGCTCAGGGGCCCACAACGCTACTAAACTTTAAGCTATCTGAGTATCGTCTACTAAGTAACTAGTAATTCTTTTTTCTTTCTCTAGGATTATATGAAATAAATTTGAATTATTTTGTAGTATTCTCTTCTTTTAAACCCCTCGGTTTTTCTTTCTCATTTTTCTCTCTTTTTTTGGTTAAAAAAAAATTTATTTCTCTTAAATCTCACACCTCTGAGGGTTTCCGTAGGCCTGCTAGGCCTCAGTTTTGCCTTCCCCCTCACTTGCCCCTGGCACAGGGTAGGGGAAGGAGGGGACACTCCAGGACCCTCAGTCCTTAGTCCCAAAGCTTCTTCCTTTCTGGTTAATCCCTTCCTTTGTTTGGCTCTGCCGGCTCCCCTGAGGGGGAGGAGGAGGGGAGCCCACGGAATGAAATCCAATCTACTGGTGGGGGCCCCAGAAGGGACCATCTCCCTCATCCCCTCTCTCCACCAGCCATCCCAGGATGCTCCCCAAAGAAAAGCAAATGATATTTCTCCCCAAAAAAAAGTGGGGGAAAAAAAGAACATAAACCCGAACATATATTAAAAACTTTTTTAAGATTTAACTCTGAATACAAATGTATTTTTTCTTCTCTCCCTACATATATTCTAAACCTTCTAAAGTTTTTTTTAAGGATCACTTTATCATAAAATAAAATATCCTTTTCATATAATAAATTACCTAATAAAAAGTCTTTTTTTCATATTAGCCCAGGTTCTTTGCTACATTTATACGGTAATAAATGCCTTTATTAAAATAGAATATTAAATTATAAAGAACTGCTTTTTTTTTCTTTTTTGCTATTTTTGTTTCCTCTCCTGTTGGTCACCATCTCACTCCCTCATTGCTTTCTCTCTTGTTGCTCACTTTTGCGTTTTGCGCTAGTTTCTAGGAAAGGCTCCTCTGCAAAGGTGGGACTGGATCTGTGGAGCCCCTACTGTAACAGTCTTTGCCTTTGTGGGTAAGGAGTGGAGAGGGGGAGGGGGTCGACAGACAGACATCCCTTTTTCCCACCCCCTCCCATGCCCTGCCCCTGGGCAACCCAGGGTGCCCATTTGGTTTGGTTTCTATTGTACAGACATCTCAAGATGGCTCACATTGGTGGAGAGGAGGGAAGCTGCCACAGGCCAGTTTTTTGGGCTGTAGCCTCCTTCCTCTCCCCTCCCAGGCTGGTGGTCTGGAGGGGAAGGCTGAGGAGAGGCAAGTTAATTCACAACAGGCAAAGGGGAGAGAGGACCTCCCTCTGTGCCCTCATCCCACATCCCTTCTCCATCCAGGAAGAATGGGACTTCTAAGCTAGAAGAGCTCATAGTCCCACCTGACTATATACAAGCATCTCCTGGGTCTCCCGGGCTTCCCCATCACCCATCCTCTCCTGGCCCGGCCAGCGGAACCAGGAGGGTAGGAGGCTGCGGGACAGACGGACAAGTGAGCAATGGGAACAGCAAAGGGTGCCAGGCCCTATCACAACACCTGATTCTTGTAACAGGCCCTGCTGCATCTCAATGCTTTGCCCGGGCTTGACCCTCACCAAAAATCTGGCCTCTCTCCTCAGCCAGTGGGTAAGACAGAGACTTCATGATTTGTAGCTAATACGGATTCAATAATGGTCCAGCCGGTGCAGCGAGGTCAGGGGATAGGCCACTGCAGGTGAGGGGGAGGGGGAGCCATCCATCCACATCTTTCCTGCCCCAGGACTTTTCCTACTTCCCATTTTCTCTTCTCTTGGCCAGAAGACCCAGAAGTGCTCCCCAAGTATAATGCCCATATATGATAAAGAAGGGGTTTCAACCCTTACGGACCCCCATTATCGGTTTCCCTCTCGAACTGGCACTGAGTCTACAGCTACATTCCATCAAGAACTGGAACGGGTTCTTTGGAGGAGTGGGGGACAGAGCTATCCAGTACATGAAGAGGAACTGGGGGCACTTCTCCCCAGGAGGATGGTATCCCCAAAGCTGGGCTAGAAGGGGCAGGAAGGGGAAAGGAAGATAGACAAGGAGGACAGCCGGGGGGGGGGGGGTGAAGAAATGGAAAAAAGCAAGGGGCAAACCCAGAAGAAAAGCTGGGGAAGCCAAGCAAAAAGTTGGAGGGAAAGGGAAGCTTCTTTCCAGATCTCTCCAGCCCAGCTTTGTAAGACAGATGAGTTGTGAGCCCTTTATTGATTGACCTCCTCCTCACTCCAGATCTGATAGGCCCCCATCTCCCTCATACTGCTGGGAACTCAGGATACGAGTGGGGAGGGGGATAAAGGGTTATGTTAGGAGGTGGGAGGTCAGGACCAGAGGGGCGGGGATCACTAAGAGCACCTCTGGTTACAGATGGCAATTCTCCCCCTCCTGTGTTGTCTTACCTCTCCACAGAGGAAGGGGCAAAATGACACACGGATGGGGAGAAGGGAAAGGTCAGGATGCCCTGGTGGACAGCAAGCTAAACAAAAGCTTCTATAGCTGCTTCCAGATTTAAGGGTGTGTTGAGGTATCAGAGTTGTAACTCTAGTAAAACTTACGGTCTGGCCCCCTTCCAAAGGGTAACCAGAGGTTCTGAAAGTGGCTGCCCCCCCAGCCACTCATGCCTCCCCTCCCCACCCCAGGGAGCGAATATTTCTAAGCACCTTGCCCTGTAGTCACTGATTTTCCAAAAGGCCCTACAGGTCCAGGGTGTCATCCTGGGCAGCGGGCCCAGACCAGGGACAGGGAGCTTAGGAAAATATTCGGATGGCTTGCGTGGCGGTGATGTGGCAGACAGGACACTCTGGGTCCGTCCTCTCGCAGATGCGTACTGCACACTCCATGCAGAAAAGGTTGTGTCCACAGGGCACCAGGGCTGCTGTCACTTCGCTCTCAAAGCACACCATACAGTCCCGCCCGCCGCCTGGACTCCGCAGCCCTCCCGCCCCCAGTTTAGAGAAGCCCTGCAGTGGCTCTCCAGGCGGTCGCCGAGGGAGCCCGGCCAGCTGCTCTGGCCCCGCAGAGGTGCCTGGAGAGCGGTGTGCACTCGGTGGGCCTGCGCGTGCCTTGGCTGAAGAAGAGGAGGAGGCAGAAAAGAGCACCGAGGTGGGCGTGGCGTTCTCCTGGCCCGCCCACAACGGGGGACTCGTCTCAGCCACGCCGTAGTAGACGTCTTGCTTGCCCACACCATAGCCCGGAAACAAATACCCGCCGTAGCCGAAGTCCCCGCCCTGCTCGCCTAGGCGCGGGGCCTCGAAGGCCGAGTCCACACTGCACTCGCCGATGCAGCCCAGGCTGTTCTGCCGGAAGGTGGAAAGCGGCTTGCAGCCCGGAGCATGCACCCGCCAGGCGTCAGAGTAGCGGCTGTCCAGTGCAGTGTCGGGGCTGCCGGCCAAGAAGTCGCCGTCGCTGTTGTACTCGAGGATCTTGCCGGTGCGCACAGCGATGTGCGTCTCGATCTCCTCCCGCGCACGTTCCACGTTGCCTGGGGCGCCGGTGATCTCGAACACCGGGTCGCGGTCCCGGCTGGGGGTGATGATGTATGTGTTGGTCTGCTGCTGGATGCGTTTGATGGTCGCTCCCTTGGGGCCCACCACCAGTCCCACCACACGGTAGGGCACTCGAACACGAATGGTCACCTGGCCCGGCAGAGCAGGGGCCACACCAAAGGCGGCGCCAGATTTGTTGCGTGAGGCTCTTATCATGGAGAAGTGCTCAGCTGCTGAGATGATTTCCCGCCGGGCTGTGGCCACGTCTTCCCGTCTCCCAGTCACCATGAACACGGGCTCCTCACCTCGCACAGGTGTCTTGATGTAGGTGTTGGTCTTGGCTCTCAAAGCCTTAATCTTGCAGCCTGAGCAGAGTGGGAAAGAAATTCACAGGACAAGGGATGTACTGGGATGTCTCCAGAATCCCAGCCTCCCAGGAACCCTTCACTTGTTCCAGTGACACCCTGATAGCCACACGCACAGCCACCCCATGTTTCTCTTGTGTGCCAACCATTCTGGGCGTTCCAAATACACTCCTCCAAAACCGCCTCCTTCAGAGCCTTTCAGAAAAGTGGCTAACCCAAAACCTGCTCACAAACTCTCCCCTAAGAACCCGCCCTTCCGTTCCCTCCACCTCACCAACCTCTGAGTCACCTCTCCTGATCTTTGCTCAAAACTCCAATGCACACAGTCTACTGTGTGACCTCCATTCACTAAAAGTGTCCTCTAGCTCACCCAGGGTCATTGGCCATCGTGTGCCATGCCTTCTGCCCCATATCCTCTGTGAGTCTCCACGTCATAAAGTTTGCAGCACCTGACACTCAGTGTGGGACTAGTGGGAGAGGACAGGATGGGGTGGGGGTCGAGGAGTGAGAATTTCAAGAGAGAAAAGTAGAAGTTTGCATCATCTGGAGGAGGAGGAGCTGTGTTCTTGTTCTCTGCCCCAGGCAGGGTAGAGATGCCCTGGAGGCTGAGAGGGAGGAAGTGGGCATTTCTGGACCCACACTCCTGCTCTGAAGGAGTGGCAGGTTAGAGCTGGGGGGCTGCAGAGAGAGGCTGTGCCTGTGGGCTGTAGACCCCAATGGCTGTCCTCCAGACAGGGGTGTGAGAACATGTCCCTAAGGATACTAAAGCAGTGGGCAGAGTGCATCCGTCCAAACAAGCAATCCCGTGGGGTGACAGAACACCCTTCACATGCACACAGACCCTCCCCTATCTCAGTCTTCCCCAGCACACAGACTGTACGCCCTTTGCCATGTTCGCACAAACTCCCTGGGCTCCCCAGGCACATCTCCCCGCTGACACACTAGCAATCCAAAGACAAGTGCCCACTCTTCTGACTCTCCCAACGCTCAACTGCAGGCCTCTGTGTGAACTTGTTTTTTTCTTTCTCCTCCCTCTCCACTCCAAATAGTGTCTTTTCTACCCTAACGTACTGGAGGGACATGGTGGGTTAAGGACATATCTTTTAAGATATATTAGGAAGGAAAATTTGACTCCTGAGCTTCTTTTCAGACTTGTTGGCAGTTAAGAAGTCCTACTTGTTGTCAAGCCTACATCCTTGCTGCTTTATTCACAGTAGATAATGGTTCAGTCTGTGAGTCTTGGAGGACCAAAGCACAGTACATTCTGCCACCTCAACTTACATGCCATTTCATGGGCACCTAGGCTCCAGTTCTTAAGTTTTGGAACCAAAAACTTCAGTGGAAGCTAGGTTTCTTGAGAGTTGGGGAGTTTGGGAGGTCAAGCCCTGGTATAAGACTAAAGAGAAAAGCCAGAGGCCAGGCAGTAGAGAACCCAGAGCTTCGTCCTCCTGGCTTCTGCAACACAGAAGCATCTCTAGAAGGGAGGTGGGAGTCAGAGAAATGCTCAAACTGCGGCAGCAGACCAGAGAGGACTTCCACCTACACGGGAGTGGGGATGGGAGGACATGTTTTCTGAAGAGAAATTCTACTTTGATGATGGATAGACACATTTGCTAAGGAGGCAGAAGAGAAAAGGACTCCATTAAATTCTGGTGCCTCACCCAAACAGAGATATTAATATCCCCATCCAGTTCCAGGCTCTGGATCCCCCATGTCTCTGACGGAGGAAAATCCAACTTTCTAAACCAGACACCCCAAGAGATTGTGGGAGGGGGCGCTGTGCAGGGGAGTGGCAAGCTCCCCTCCTCCACTCAGCTCCCCATTCCAAATCCTCCAGCTCCAATACTAGGGTGGATGAGGTGGGATATGAAGTAGGGGCCACAGCCTGCCTCCCCATCCAACCTCCAGGAACTGCCCTCCTCCTCTACTCCCGCGGAATGCAGCCCCTCCATTGTTCCCCACAGTGGGGCAGCTCCTCCCCCACTCCACCTCTCAGCCCAGCCCCTTTGCAATATCCAAATCCCGCTCCTCCCCCCCCCAAGCTGGGAGGGGAAGGGTCCCCAAGATCCAGGTTGCTCAATTTGGGTACTTACCAACACTCCCACCCACCTAGGCATGCCGGGCTGAGGAGGGTGTGGTAACATATTCCATTGGCTTAATCCAATTCCCCTCCCAGCACACCCAGACATGCAACCCACCACCAAATTTCCAAGTGGAGGGCTCTCTGCCCCCTTCAACGACAGGCCTCTCCTGCCTTGTCCCACGCATTCACTCAGAGACTCTTCTTTAGACCCTTGGCTCCAGGCCGTGGCCAGCCCAGAACAAAAGCAAGACGGAGAAGGAGAGGCCCACGCCAGGGCTGGTACCACTTCAGAGACACCCTCCCCAAACACAAGGGCCCACACATGCAAGGGCCAGCAAACGACCACAGGACCCCTCTCTGCTAAGGGCTTCCTCATCACCTCTCTCCAGACTGGGACCCTCCCCTGGGCCACACCCCCTTTCATTCCTACACTCAGCCCAACAAAGAGACAGATCCTCAGTCGGGCTTCATGGACCGGGTCTTGCTCAGAGTCCCTAACTCCAACGGCAGAAGGTCCCAGGAGTGCCCCCTCCCCAGTCTACAAGCAGATACCAGAGTAAGGATTTCCAAGTAATTGCACATTCCGTCAGTTCTTCCAGCCCGGAGCCGACACCCCCTCCGCACAGACCCCGGGATTGGGAGGCAGCTCCCCCTCCCCTTTCCTCTCCCAGTTCCAGGATATTTCTTTGTCTACGGGCGGAGCCCCAGGGGAGGAAGGGTCCCGAGAGTCGTCCCTACTAGGGGGACCAGGGAACTTTGTGGCACTTGGAATCTGGGCAGGGGGCGGGGCCCCCTTTGTCGGGAAGGGACAGAGCCAGAGGCGGGCAAAGAGGGAAGCGATGAACTTTCAGCGCCGGGGACAGCAAGCCCCCACTCCAACCCTCGCAGTGTCCGGACACCCGCTTACCTTGCCTGCCCACGATCTCGGCCACGTGCTCGGAGGTGGGCACGGGAACGCACTCCGTGGTGTTGCTGCTGCCCTTCAGGCGCAGCTCGGCCTCTTTGTAGAGCGCGCAGAGCTTGGCGTCGTTTGCCCCTTTGGGGGCGGCGGGGGGCTGGGGCGTCTGCGCCGCGGGGGCCGCGCTCGGGGCGGCCGGGGCCGCGGCGGGCGGCGGCGGCGGGGCCGGCTGCGGGGGGGCGGCCGGCTGCGCGGGGGCGCCGCCCCCCCCACCTCCCCCGTCCTCGCCCGCCGTGGGGGCGGGGGGCTCCCCCAAACCCAGGAGGCAGAGTTGATCAAGCGCCAGCTGAAGGGCGCGCTCGTCTTCCAGTAGCCCTCGGTCCTTAGCGCTTCCCCCGAAACATCCTAATTCTCCAAAGCCCCCATTTCTTTCCATTATTCCAGATACCACTAGACTAGGCATGGCGAAACAAAAGCTGGGGGAGAGAGAGAGGGAGAGAGAGAGAGGTGGTGGAAGGGAGAAGAGGAGAGAGGAGGGGAGGGGAGAGAGGAGGGGGTATGTGGGGAGGGGGAACAAAGAGCTGGGGAGGGGGGAAGAAAGCGAGATAGAAAGATAGACCCACCCCTAAGCCCCCCCCTCCCCAAGCACCCTGTAACCTGACTCCCCTCGCCCCAGCCCCCGGGTGGGGGTGGGGGAAAAGAAGCAAAACCAAGAAAGCAGATCTCCTCTCGCTCCGGGGTGACGGGTGGGGTGGGGGGCTGCGGGGCTTGGCCCCCACCCCTCCGCCTCGGACCCGGAGTGTTTACCCTCTGTCGAGCAGACGCCCCCTTAGGCTCCCGCACCGAGCCCCAGTCCCGGAGCGTCGCTCAGTGGCCCCCAATAGAGCCCAGCCCCTTCCAGCGCTCAAACTCTTTTGTTTTAAATGAACTGGATGGAGCAGCATGGAACTGACGGGAGGGGGGCGCGCCGGGGGCGCCCGGGGCATGCCGGGAGTTGTAGTTTCCCGCCCTCGGGCTCGGGGACGAATTCGGGCAAGAGGACGCGCCCCTTGGGTTCTGCCTACCGCTCGCGGGCAAAGCTCGGGTGGGCGGGGAGTCGTGGTCCGGGAAATTTCAAGAGCTGGCGGTATGCGGGAAAGGAGCGGGCGTAGAAAGACGTCGGCCACCGGCCCCGCGGGTCCCGGGCCTTTTTCTTATGGTAATGAGGAGCGGGGCGGAGCGGCCGCGTGGCTGCGGTGTCCTCCCTCCTCCGCGCGCGATCGCGGAGTCCACAGGCTCAGGCCTTGGGGAGAGCGCTCGCGGAGCTAACAAAGCCCGCGGGCCGCTATGATAGGAGGAACGAGTCTCTGAGCTACGTGGGATCCGGGAAAGGGCGTTGGGGTGGAGGAGGTATCCCTGGTAGAGGATGGGGGCCCCTCATCTCTTAAGTAAATCATCCCCCTCCTCCAGCCCCCCAGTTCCAGGATCTCAGAGGCCGCGGCTTGGGAGGTGAGTTAGTTCGCGCCCCCGTGGACCGTGCAGTAACCGGGTGTGGAAGAGGAGGCGCGGAGAGAGAGGATAGGGGTGAAGGGCTGAGCAGGGAGCCTGGAAGGGCCGTAAAGGCTTCCTGTGACTTAGTTTAGAGCCTAGAACTTTGGGTGTAACGGGAGTGAGATTGGGAGCCCTTCATTCCTGAGCCACGAATACAGTGGAGGTCATTTGCCCCTTAGGACTCTCATGCCTGCCTCTTTCTTTTATTAACCAGTAATTCAGCCCCTTTGACCCTAGAAATATAAAGAGAGATCAAAATTAAGTTTTTGAGACTCGACAGATAGTTTAGAGGGAGTTGGGTTTACTGCAGTCTTTTCTTCAGCTCTAGCCTGTGTCTTCTTCAGCTTTCCTTTTGTCCAAGAGAAGGAATAGGACCGCGTCTAGAGGCCTTGAGGTCAAACGCTTAAGAACCACCTTCTCCGAACTGGATAGCAGAAAGTAGGTATGCCTCGGGGTATAGGATGTCTTTTTTTTCAGGCCCAGTTCCTAAACTGGTTCTTGGAAAGAGTGAGTTTGCCCATGAGTGGGAGGGCTAAGTGGTGGGAGGGTCTGAGGGTTCATGCCCAGCAGACAGGCTTTTCCCTTTCTATGAAGGAGAATCTTGGACAGAGGATCTGGGAAGCTGAGTAAGGGAGGGGCTGCCCCTGCATGGAAGATTGAACAGATTATCAACACATTTTATGGGCTGGATGTCCATGCCCGCCAGCAGGAGTGGAGAGAGTGAACAGCAGAGTGGGCCTCCTGACTCCTGTCACCTCCCTACCCCTATTGGGGACCAGGTACTAGTGGAGCCACCAGCTGTTTTGAGCTTTCCTGTCTCTCACTGAAACAAGATCCCCCCCAGAGTTTGCCCAGTCTCTGTCTTCCTCCCCACTTAACCAATTACAGCAGGAGGCTAATGACCTAAAAAGCCTTGGGGATTCGGTCAGGGAGGGGAGCAAAAGGCAGAATCTTGAGTGGGAAGTGGATGGCTGCGAATCTTGAGTGGGAAATGGGTGGCTGCGAATCTTGAGTGGGAAGTGGACGTCAGCTAAAGGAGAAAGGGACAGACTAAAGCTGGAGTAGGCAAGGTGGCACCCCATGGAACCCCCCATGCAGCGGGATGCATCAGTCCTCAGGGTGTCTTAGTACCCCCCCCCACACTCAAGGTCACACGCGGTGACTCCAGACATCCTCCAAGGCAGAAGAGAGCACATGCAAGCCTGGCACTTGGAGGGTCATGTGTGTGTGGACTCAGGTGTACCCCTAGGAACAGATGTCTGCAGAGCCGCAGGTGAAGAGGAGCTATGGGGACAAGAAAACTGCTCTTGCTCCTGAGGCTGAGGTCTCCTTTGTTCAGGCCAATGCCACTCAGCCTGGGCTGCTGTGCATGGGTCCTGCTTAGCTTTCCTTCCCTGCCTCTGTGTCTCCCCTCTCCTACCCTCCTCTACTGTCCTGGCTCCTGTTTTCATGCTATGGAACCAAAGGACCTTGTTGAGTTGTTGAATTGACTGTGAGCGTCGAATCCTTATGAGTATTTGTGTGCATGCATGCATGCATGGGTGCAAGGCAGGAAGTGACCCAGTGGGACAAGGTCCTTGTGGAGGCCCGAGGACAGGAGTATGGTAGGAAATATTGTGAGACCGTTTTCCCGTCTACTCTGAGCAATCTCGAGTACCCATGCTTGGCTGTCTACGTAGTAAGTACTTAAGTAGAAGGACACACCTAACACCGGAGCCCTGGAGAGGGAGATCAGGAAGTTGGTAAGGAAGCCGCACCAAGCAGGCTAGCCTCAGTTTATCTCCCTACCCTGTTGCTGTATTTCTCACAGGCTTCCTCCGTCTGTCCTGGTCAGTTCAGCCTCCCTCCCATGCTTTGTGAGGCTTTTACTTTCCTTTTTGTTTTTATTAAATTGTATTTCATATGTATATCATGGCTGTGCACGTGCTACAGCACACGCATGAAGGTCAGAGAACAACTTGTGGGAACAGGTTCTGTCTGTCTTCACCATGTGAGTCCCCAGGGTTAGCAGCAAGTCCCTTTATCCACTGAGCCATCTTGATGGCCTTTTTTGTGTGGTTTGGTTTTTCAAGACAGAGTTTCTCTGTACTGTAGTCCTGACTGTCCTGGAACTCACTCTGTAGAACAGGCTGGCTTTGAACTCACAGAGATCTATCTGTCTGCCTCTGCTGGAATTAAAGGCATGAGGCAGGCTTGATGACTTTTTGTTTGTTTGTTTGTTGTTGTTGTTGTTGTTGTTTTGAGACAGGGTTTCTCTGTAGCGTTGGTGCCTGTCCTGGAACTTGCTCTGTAGCCCCAGCTGGCCTCAAACTCACAGAGATCCGCCTGCCTCTGCCTTCTGAGTGCTGGGATCAAAGGCGTGTGCTACCTACCACCTCCCGGCATCATATTTTCCTTCCTTAATAACCTCTTGTTGGAAATATACCTAGATATCCAGCCTCTGCCTTTCTTGCTGAATGTGCTGCTAGTTTTCTCCTTTATGCTGGAATGCACTCAGTGTGCTAATTTCTTCAGAACAGTTTTTAGTATTTATGTTGTGAGTGTGTGTGTGGGTAAGAGAGAGGGGTGTGTATGTGTGTGTGTTACAACACACATGCGGGAGACCAGGAGAGAGGGGTGTGTGTGTGTGTGTTACAACACACATGCGGGAGACCAAGAGAGAGGGGTGTGTGTGTGTGTGTGTGTTACAACACACATGTGGGAGACCAAGAGAGAGGGGTGTGTGTGTGTGTGTTACAACACACATGCGGGAGACCAAGAGACAGACTTGAAGAAGTTCCAGGGGTTAAACTCAGGTCCCCAGACTTGGTTTCAGGCTCCTTTACCTGTGAGCCTTCTTGCCGGCCCTCAACTTATTTCAGCTGATGAGAATATATTGGGTAAACTTCTGCATTCTGGGTAAAAGTGATTTCAGACTTGATCCCTGCTCTCATGAAAACAGAAACTCACCTACATGGCCAAAGAGGATAAGTGTGAGGCCAAATCATCTTTGGGGCTTGAAGAGCCACCAAAATTGGAAGGAAGGGTAGGTCATTGGTCCCTTTGTCTCTCTGCCTGATCTCCTACAGACTCCCCAGAGCAACTCTGAGGGGCTGGGGTGGAGCTTGGGCCCCCCCAGGACAGCTGGCTAACAAGGCTCCTCTGGGACTCCATTCTGGGCCCTGGCATGTAGGAGGCGGTGACACTGGAGCTGTGACAGTTGGTCCTTGGATCCCCACCCAGTGGCGCCAGCTCTGGTTTCGGGCTGCGCGAGGGAGGGGATTAGTTGCCCTCCTGGGACGCAGAAGCAGTAAACGTGGCTCCCTGTGAGGACTTTTCCTCCCTGGGGCAGAAGGCTAGTTTAGATGCGAGGAGGGTTTTGGCTGGGATGACTTGCTGGATGGGGTGTGTAGTGCAGACCATTACCTGCAAGACGTCAGAGCGGAAGGGGACGGTGACTGAAGAGGCCGATCCTTTTCCCCTTTGCAGAACACATGCAGCCCAGAGAAGGGGTCTGTGGCTCCCTTCTGCCTTCTAGACCATTCTGTTTGTTTCCTTCATTTCCTGGAGGTTTTCTTCTTAGACTCTTCAAACATTGTATTTACTCTATCATTATTTTATTACATGTATTTAATGTGTACATGTACTGTATTTATCCTGAATGTAGAGGTCCTGGGGATTGAACGCAAGGCCTTAGGCGTGGCATCAAGCACCTTTCTCCCTTGGGCCACCTCATCTGACCTTTGATATCATTTAATCTTCATAATTCCATGGAACTGTAATTTCTATCTGTACTTGACATAAAGATATCCATGGCTCACAACAGCTGGTAAGGGGAATTCCACTGTTCAAAGTTAGAGTTGTGTGACTTCTGACCTGGGTCCCCAGAGGTGGACAGTGCCATTCCGTGCTTGGAGACCTTGGAGGGAGTGACATTTAAAGCTGGGGCAGCTT